GGCATGGTTGACTGCCCGTATGGCTGATCTGTCTCCATCCAGCCCCTCCAGAGGTTGAGGTGATACCATGTGACCCCCCCACTCCACATCACACTGTTAGACTACCTGGGGTGACCCAAGGTCCCCTAGCAAACAGAAACACTCCTGGTCGGTATGACATTCCACAGGCTTAGCGATCCTCAGAAGACAAGGGACATCTCTCTGGACAAGGTTAAGTTCTTTACTCCACACATTCCTTTATAGCTGAATATTCCAGTGTCTGTATATACCACATTTTATTTATTCATTCTGTAGTTGTTAGATGTTTGCATTGCTTCCACTTTTTGGCTATTATGAATACTGCCGTGATCATTTGTGTACTCGTTTTTGTGTGGACATAGGTTTTCATTTCTCTAGGAGTGGGATTTCCTGGGTCATATGATAGCTCTCTGTTTAACCTTCTGAGGACCTGCCAGACTGTTTCCCACAGGGGCTACTCCGTCTGCTCCCTGCACTCTTACGGAGTGAGGCCGCTCCTCAGCCGGACCAGAGCGAGAATTAGTTATCTGACCCTCACTTTCTCTGAACAACAAAATGCCAATAATTTCCAGACCATCATTTCTTTCCCCATCCTCAACTGAAGATGATATTTTTTGCATTCTTATTTTTAAAAAAAATACATATTTATTGATTTCAGAGAGGAAGGGAGAGGGAGAGAGAGATAGAAACATCAGTGTTGAGAGAGAATCATTGATTGGCTACCTCTTGCACATGCACAGCCCTGACTGGGAATCGAACCGTGATCTCCTAGTTCACAGGTGGACACTCAACCACTGAGCCACACCGGCCAGGCGGGGCCACCATTCCTGTGGGCCTCCTCTTTTCCCTTGTTCTGAGGGGCACATTCATCTCTCTCTGCTCCGGGTTCCCTCAGCTCTACCTGCTACCCCAAGTGCCTTGCACGTCCACAGCTCCCTCAGGGTCCTCTCAGCAGTCCTCACCTGTGCAGCACACCTGCCCAGTCTAATATCTGAGGGCCACGGGCCACATCTCCTGCTGGTGATCCCTTCCACACACCTTTTCCCAGCCCTGGCTGTACATCGGCATCACTGGGAGCTTCCCAAACTACTGTCGTGTGGCCCCGCCCCCAGAGTCTGCACCACGTGATAACTGAGCACCCACTCGATGGTAGGCAGGCTCTGTGCTGGGTGCTGGAGTGACAGTGGTAGTGAGATACAGCCACTGTCCTCAACCTCACAGTAGTGGGAATGGGTATTTATTGAGTGGGATAATCAATATTTTAAGAAATACCTACCAAGAAGCCACCTCTTGTAAATTCCTGTTGGGAAGAAGCGCTTTTTATCTCCTATATGAGCAGAGCGGGAAGTTGTTTCCTTGATGGAGTTGGAAGGGAATTTAGTAACTGAGTCCCAATGCCCCAACCCCGCATTTTACGGATGAGAAAACCAAGGACAAATGACTAAGTTTTCTGTGCTGGAGGAGGAAGGTGGTGTCTGAGAGCCAGAGGCTCTTGTATTAGGGTATCCCTGCCAGCTGCTCTTGGGATGGCGGGAGAGGGCAAGGAGGCTGCTTTCGGGAGAGTTTTTCCTTCTTTATCCTCTAGATCAGCAGTCTGATGTGGTACAAGGCAGGCTGGTGTGTGACTGGCTGGTGGTGATGATGGTGGTGGTGGTGGTGGTAGAGGGGGTGGAGGGGTTTCAAGCTGTCAGGAGGTTGTGAAAAGAACAAGAGGCCAGGACACTTGATTCTCCAGGGAAGGTTTGATTTGGTTCTGGAGGGGAGGCAGAGCTACCTGTTGAGCCTGGGATTAAGGAGGGGAGGTGCATCTTTTCCTTTAGAAAAGTGGTTTCCAAAGTGGGATGCACCTAGAAAATCCTTTGGAGTGTAGTAAGAAAATATTGGAACTTCTATTTATAATTTTAAATAATCAATTTAAAATTCTTTTTTGGTGTGTGAATTTTTAAAATACACATATTAGTTCAACAGCAAAGATATAATACTAGAGGCCCAGTGCATGAAATTAGTGCACTCTGGGAGTGTGGGGGGGGGGTCCCACACCCCAGCCTGCACCCTCTATCGCAGTCTGGGAGCCTTTGGGGGATGTCCAACTGATGGCTTAGGCCCACTTCCTGTGGGGAGCGGGTCTAAGCTGGCAGTCGGACATCCTTAGCGCTGCCATGGAGGCTCCTGCCACCTCCGCTGAGCTCACCAGTTGTGTGCAGGGCTTCTGGCTGAGCGGTGCTCCCTGTGGGAGCGCTCTGATCACCAGGGGAGAGCTCCTGCATTGAGCATCTTCCCCTGGTGGTCAGTGTGTGTCATAGCAACCAGTTGTTCCACCGTTGGGTTGATTTGCATGTAAGCCTTTTATTATATAGGACATAAACATAAAAACAAATATGCATTGAGGGTTTCAAACTTCAAAAATATATTTTTTTTACTTTTTTTACTGAGAAGTGCAGCCAATATAAAAAGTTACCAGAACAAGACTGCAGGGGTTGGGGAGAGGAGTCCAAGGGGGGGGAGTATAGAAAAGATAGACTCAGGATAGCTGTTGGCGGCCCCTGCTGGCCGTTACCAAAGTGCAACATTACTCAGTACAGCTCCGGATCTACTGAAATTCAGAATACCCACCCTGAGTGTTATTCCTCTCTGTGCCCTGACTCCCAAAGCTCTGAGGAAGCAGAGACACTGCCTTCATCCTTGTAACCTCTGAGACGAAGCAGGGAGGAAGGCAGAGCTAATTACAGACCCCAGAGGGGGAGGACTCATCCCTCCACTTCCTTATCCCCATCCCACCCCACCCCCACCCGAGTGGCAGCCCCTAACTGCCATGCATTGTGGACCCCTCAAACCGGCTTCACTTCCCAGATACTCTATCCCCCACCAGTCGTATCCTCATTCCTTTGGGCCCAGCTTAGAACATTTACTGCACCTCTGTTATATCACTCAGTGATACCACCAGAAAGTGTTGGGTGTCTGACACCCTCCTCCGGTGGTGGTGGTGAGCTCTACCCAGGCTGTGAGCTCCAAGAAACCAGGAGTCACTGAAACAGGCACTGAAGCTGCTGTCTGACTGAGTATCCCTGAACAGGCACTTTGTCTGGAACAGAATAGGTGCATCTGCATCCAGAAATGCCCGCCCCCCCGCAACCTCACAGGGCTCCAGAAGTGCAACATTACTCAATACAGCTTTGATTCCGTGAGAATCAAACAACTTACAAGGTCCTGAACAGATGGGAGGGCCCAGCCTCTTACAAAGTCCTTAACAGAGAGATACTGTTGACTGGCTAATGGGGGAAGCGGCTAGTGAGAATAATGAGTTGGGCTCCCCCTTCCTAGTGGGCCAGAATCTGGGCTCTCACTTGGACTTAGGGACCCTGAATGGAGTTGAAGCTGGGGGTTGCTGTGTAGTAACAGTTACCTGATTGAGAAATAATTAATGTTTTGGAGGGATTCGGGATCCTTCCATGGCAGAGCGACTCCTTGCCCAGAGATTGTCAGGTGAGAGTGGAGGGTAGCCTTCCTAACGGGCAGGGAACTTCTTTTTGTGTTGAATTAGGAGGATCTTCTGGCTTGAAGACAGGGGAGAGAGTTGGAAGCAGTGTCTCCAGGAAGCCCCTTTGGTTTGAGACAGAAGCCTGCAGTCACTGGCTCTTTTCTCTTCCCTCAGTGAAGGCAGAGAGGGCTTTGGGTAGAGTGTGGCCTGGTGCTACGGTCTTTGCCTGTACACCTATACACCTGTGCCCTCGGAGCTTCCAGGGACCCAGGGACCAGCCAGTCTTCTGCTTCTGGGACGAATTCCCAAGTCAAACCCGTTTCTGAGATTTCTAAGCAAGTTTTCAGGATAAGCTCCTTAGCAGCGCAGTAAGCACGTAAGAGGGATAACTCCTGCATATTCCAGAGGGCAAGTGGAGGGGATGGGGAGACACCCAGGCCAGGCTAGTGCCATGGCTGGTCCCAGAGGCTCGATGCACTGAGCAAAGGGTGGTCAATGGGAGCGTCTAGCATTCGTAGGCCTTACAGCGTCTTCCACTAGAAGGTCTGGGGTGGAGCCAGAGGCTGGCGAAGGCGGGCAAGTAGATTTAACCCTTTATTTACTTCTTGAGATGGGTCTCTGAGGAAGGGTAGGGAGTTTACTAATTTCTGTATTCCCTAGACAGGGGTATGGACCAGGTCTCTGATCCAGGCTTAAAATAGGGTCCTGAATCCCTTCACGAAGACGCCCCCCCCCCCGCTTCTTTTTTGCAAATTGTTCCAGAGAGTCGGGGATCCAGGTACCCATCATTCGAGTCTTTAAAAACTGCCCCTGAGCCCGAGACCCTGGTGGTGGGGGGTGGATCTCCTGCTCTTTGGCGGCCTCCCTAAACCCCCCTTGTTCCCTTTCCCGATTGGAAAGGAGGATCACGAGGAAAAGCGAGGCGCGCTCGGAACTCGAACATGGACCTAAACGGCGGGAAACGGGCGGAGTGGTCGTTCACTCATCATTGCCCTTTAAGGGATCTCTGGGCGACGGGGATCCTAGAGGTGCAGATCCAGCTAGTGCTCCCCTGAGTGGGCAGGATGCGGGGCGTCGTGGGCTGTGCGACGTCTCTCCTACCGCCACCTCCCGGCCTGCCTGCTAGCTGCGCGGAAAGACCGCTTTCCCCCGGGCTGCCCCGCGCC